GGGGGGGGGGGGGGGGGGTCATTGCTGGTGGAGTAATTGAAACCAAGAATTTCATGCTCTCAAAGCAATAATATCATAAAAGACTTTTTCAATGGAAAAACAACACATATAAACCTCCTCAACACATATGCCCCAACACGAGGAAAACAACTTAAATAAGCCCCACAAAGGTAAAACAACATAAATAATCCCTAAAATGGGTAAAATTATAAACTCAACAATTCTAATAATTCAATCTCATCTACGGTCCCATTTCATAGTCTAGTCTATAAGCATGGTTAACTACCAACCCAGTCTGAAAGAAATATAAGTCAAACCTATCTCGAGTCACGAATCTTCACTTGAAATCACTTAATCAGTGCTTTTCCTTTTATCGAAAGCCCCAAAACGATTCTCAACTATCAAGAATGGAAAGTACTTATCAAAGTAGTTCCAAAGACACCCATCAAAATTGAAACTAGGATTAAAATCATCCAAAAATCTCATCAAAATTGAAATGGGTAAAGATAAAAATTTATTTGAAAATCATAATTTCCAACTGTAAAGGAGTTTGTTTGTGAAAACTCAACCAAAATCAAGTAAGAATTGAGTCTCAAATCAAAGAAATACTAACTTTCCAATTTGGGGGGAAAACCCCAAAATCCTATTTTGAAATCTTTGATTTTGAAGAATTTAGTAGATAGAATTGGTAGAAAATGATTTAGAATTGAGTTAGGAACTCGCCCAAGCTCTCAAAGTATTGAAAATGCTGAAACAATAAAAATGAGAAAGAAATCTCGTCAGAAAGAAAGCTGTCAGCAAAACAATGTGTCCAGAAAAACAACAATTGTAAAACACCTTGTCTTGAGCCTAGAAACCCATTAGTAAACTATACATGATCTAATAGTGTAAATGGATCATAAAACATGTAATGGAACCAATGAAATCATCAGATTTCTGAAAAAAAGATCATTTAGTCAAAATTATTCCTCGTATCTCCTTTTAGGAGTTTCATCCTAATGATCATTTACACAATATAATCTTGGGGCCCAAACTAACCACCCTACTAGCCTAAACTCGACATTCCAAAATCAACGAAACTAACAGAATCACCATCTGATGCTCGGTTCTCAAATGTTAACCAAAGTCAACTCTCTCAATATGAATCACCCCAAAAGTCTCAAAACCTCTAAATCACTCATGAACGCTTTGAGGACAGTGTCAATCAACCTCACACCAAAATAAAGCATAACACAAGTATGAAAAAAGAAAAAATTGTAACACCTCATTATTTGAAAGAACTAGAATTAGAAAGAAACTATTTTTGGAAAGAATAAATTTGGAAATTTTGGCAAGTTATGCTAAGTATGAGTTTTGGGTCAACTTCAAACGACCATAACTCTCAGTACAAGATGAGTTAGGTGGGCTATAAGATATCAAATGAAAGTTCTTGGAATCATCTTTCCAACGCCACCGAGTTTGCTAATTTTCGAGTTTGTATGAGGGAGATATTCCCATTTGAAGTCGGGCGATAAGGAAAGTTACCCAGATTTAAGAGGGGTATTTTGGTCTTTTCCTTACCCAATTAAGTTGTTTCATTTTTAATAATTAATTAGGGGTTTAGACTGAATTGGTTCAGTTTACGCACTCAAATTTCACGTTAGGGTTTTTAGAGAAAGAACTCAAGAGGAGAAAAGGTCAAGATTTCATCAAGTTCTTGAAGGTTTCGTTGCGGATTTTGTCATGGGTTGATCCCTAAGAGGTATGTGAGTTCACATAGCGTTGGGTTCGTTCACCCACGCGCCAATCATGTTACTTTCAGCGTATTTCCTTCCTATAAAGTTGAAGATTTGATGTTCTTGAGTTGTGTTCTTAAAATTGTCTTCATTCTTGAATTTCGATAGGATTGATGAGTTTCTTGAGATAGTCTTATCGATTTTAAGAGTTGTTTTGAGTTAGATTATTGGGTACATGTATTGGGTAACCAAATCTAAAGAGAAAATGAGAAAAAAAAAATCGAATTTAATTGAATTAAGATAAAAAATTGAGTTGAAAAATTCGTCGGGGTTTGATCTTAGGCATATTTATATGCCTAGAAAGCTAATTATGCCCGCATTTAAGCTTAGTTTGAATTCAATATGTGTTCGTTTATAATTTTATTGAGTCTTTTGTTTGTTTATGAGCTAACCAACATGATTAGTTGTGTAGGTAAGCTAAGAAGAGAAATGAGCATGAAAATGGACAATGGGGAACACAGAAGATTAAAGGCAAAAAGAAGCATAGAAGAAAGAGGAAGAAAAGAAGATCAAGGCATTGTCGTATCCTCTCCGCGTCGCGAAGAGGGGGTCTTAAATTAACTCACGAGAGTCAGCAGTAGGCAGAGCCCTCTGTGTATTCTCCGCGTCGCGGAGAAGGGTTGTTATTTTATTCGCGAAAGTTGAGTTAGAGGCAGAGCACTCCGTGGAGTGTCCGCGTCGCAGAGAAGGCTATTGTGCATGGAATCAAATATTTAAAGCCTCTCCGTGTCGCGCCCTATGCTCCAGTTTTTGGTCGTTTCGACTTTTAGTATAAATAGGTTATTATATTTTTTTATTAACTATTCTTTTTCTGGGTTTTGAAGAACGACGACTTGGGAGAACATTTTCACCATTTTTAGGGTTCTTTCCTAAACTATTTTCCTTTCGATCTTTGTATGTTATTTGAACATTGTTTGATCGATTCTTGGATCATGAGTAGCTAAATACCTTAAGGTTGTGGCTACAGGATGATTGTAATCTATTGATTTTGTTATTAGGTTAATGTTAATTATCATATGAATTTTTCTTATGTTCTTGGTTGAAGTATTTCTTGACTAATCGCCATTGAAATAAATACATTATCCAAATTGAACTTGGGAGAGGAATAAGAAGATAGAACGTGGGACATAAGGAGCATGATTAATTCTAAATAACTAGGGTTAATTTGTATCTAGGATAGAGATATACCTAGAAACCATGCTTGGGTCACCATACATGAAGAAATCGTAATGCTCGTTACTTAATCCATCATATCCCCGCTAGTGATGTAGTTAGGGTGTTATTTATCGTAGGCGATTAGAGGTCGGGAGACCATGATCATACATTTAACCTTGTGATTCATTGATTCGATAATTGATAAATGCCCATATGAATGATATTGATTGCATGAATCGTGATAAAAGCTGCAACCCTGGACTTTACCCAATCACTGATTTTAAACCCTTGAAATTGAATCACTTTTGTTACATTTTGTTCTAAGACTGTTATAATCTTAGAAGTAGAAACTAAATCACTTTGGAAATCTTGAATACCCTTGTGTTTAGCTGAAAGTTAGAGAAGTTAAGTAATTCTAAGTGTAAGTCCCTGTGGGTACGATAGCCGGCTCATAAAAAGATCCACTTTAATACTTAAACAACCACATGCACTTGCGTGTGCGATTTGGACGCAACAGGGTTGCATGGGGGAGGTCTAGCGCGGCGCGCCAGAAGTGTGCCACAAAGGAGTCTTTGTACTTTAGGGGCTGGCGCCCCGCGCCAGCAGTGCACCGTCGTTTAGCCCGTCTGAGTCCTTCTAAAGTGTACTAACACTTCCTATCGATTCTAACTACTCTAAATGACTTCTAAACATCTAGAAATCATCCATAAATCTGAATCAGAACCTTGAATCCATAAATTCAAATTCAAGGAAAGTTAAGAGCCAAGTCCAGAGAGTTCTTAGAGTCTTTTCAAAAGTCTTTTACAAATGTTTTAAACTTGTTTTAAGACTTGAGCATGAGTTGAGTAAGAGTAAGATTGAAGTTCTTTTTTTCTTAAAAGATTATATGGGAACTAAGTATTCCCAAAGAGTAAATATTTTTACATCTAAACAAAAGAGGAAACACCGATTTCTAAGAGAATTTTTTAGCTACTTTTTGAGTAATTATCTCAAACCACAGAGAAAGAGTTATGTTTTTAAACATATGAGCAGAGTATATTTTGGGAGTAGTATTGAGCACCGATATGGGAACGAGTTCATAATAACTCAAGTCTCCATAAACCATGTAGCCAACGTGGATAGAAAAGATCATACTTTTTAGATGATTCCTTAATGCTTTTAAGCATAGCTTAGTGGATCCACTTAGTTGAGGCGTTCTATATCCGGGCAAGTTATAGGACAGTTCTGGCAGCGTGGGCGAGACGTATCATCACCTAGCTCATAGTGATGATTGTCGGTTAGAGAATCTCCTAAACAGAGTTTATTTTTGTATTATTATATACAACTGAGATATTATTGCACTTTTCAATACTTTGAGATGTTATCTACTGTTTTAAATGGTTTACATAAACTGTATCTTTATGGTTGTTTAATTCTGCATTGAGTTGAGTAAAGCTGAGGTAAGTGTTTCTTTCAAAATTCAGTTTAAGCTTATGTCATGTTTAGCTTTTCCCTCGCATGCTCGTACATTAAATGTACTGACGCCATGAAGATACAGGTAACCAGGATTAGCCGCCAGCGCTTCATTGATCCAGTTGAGCATTCAGAGTCAGTTGGTGAGCCTCCGTACTTTCCGGAGGATCCCTTTTTATGTTGTTTTAGTATTTCAGTCGTTAGGATGATCGGGGTCTTGTCCCAACATCTCTCATAGTATTAGAGGCTTCATAGACAGATAGTTATAGTTCTTTAGTCTTTGCATTTCAGTTGTTTTGTTATAAGACTTGAGTTGCCACTTTGGCTAGTTGAATGTTTGTTTCTAAAACATTCTAAGTTTATTTTGAGACAGTTGAGTAAAGTTGCATTTGATTTCTCTTATTAATGCTTAAAGTCTTCCGCTGAGAGTCTAGCTAGGCCAAGGGTCCGCTGGGGCCAACAATGGTTCTCGAGTGCCAGTCCGCCCAAGGTGTAGGCTCGAGGCGTGACAAACTTGGTATCAGAGCATAGAGTTCAAGAATCATAGGGAGTCTAAGAAGCCGTGTCCGTAATATAAATGTCATTCTTTTTGTGATTGACTAAAAAGAAAAATGAATCATATAAATTGGACGGAGTAATATTTTTGTGCCATGTTTTATAATAGGGGGTAAATAGTTTCAAAAATTCATGTTTAATGAGATAATTAATACTTCTTATAGTTTAGGAGGGTAAATAATATTAAAAATTCATGTTTGATAGATAATTAAGACTTTTCGTATTTTAAGTGTGCATATAATAAAATATATCAAGTTTAGTGATATTTGCCGACACTAATTATACTAGCATAATTTAAGGTTTAGTCACGACTCAGGATAATTTGCTTAAATTAGGTTCATTTGAAATTTTGGAGAACCTTCGTATTAGAACGTCCAAAATTAAGCCCAAAACGTACTCCTATAGTGGGATCTCACTTAATGTGAATTCAAGGTGTAATTATTATTGTTATCAAATTAATGTCGTTCCATTAAAACTTCTTTTTTGGAGTAAAATGAAGCACCGGGAAAATATGAGGGACATACATGTGTTGACCTATTACTAACTTGGGTAAGACATGCTATATAAAGTTATGATTTCAAATTAATATTTAGATGTGTGATTCGGAATCATAATTTAAAATTCTCCAGAACATATGATTTGAGATTTCAAATTACAATTTTAATTTTTTAATAAATGTGAAATTTGATTGATCTAAAAAATTAAATTTCGTTAAAAAGACCTATCATTTTAATTTTGTAAAAAAATTGTGCTCGACGTGAAAAGATTGTAGGTATCATATGAAAGAATTATGGAAAAACTATATGATTAAACATACATATATGCATACATATTATATATATTAATTTAATCTATACTTTCAAATAATTATATATTATCCCACTATTTATTGATTATGTACCTGTTTTGAAATTAGTTACATTGAGATACTTCACTCTTTAAAATTAACCTAAAATAAAGTGTTGCCCACTCAATTATCTCCGTAATTTAATCTCTTACTCCAAATCAACCTACTTTCTCTCCTATTTCTTCCCCTTAAAACCCCCAAAATACCTCATAAGCATGGAACCAAGATGTCATGGCAATGACTATGACATCAACTTATCCAAAGTTGTCTCCTCCCAAGTAATCTTTTCACACATGGCTCCTTCAAGATTTCTATGAAATTTTTCTTTGCAATTCAGTGGGATTGTAATCTTTCTTTTCAAAAATTATGTATGCTTTTTCGTAAAAATGAATAATTATTTGTGAAAATAATGAATGGAGATTTACACTTGTACCTGATATATTATTGATGTATCTGACACATTATCGAGTTAAAATTATATGTATTTAATTGTTTTAATTGTATCTAATTAAGTGTATATGTATATATAGGTATATATCTGAATTAGAGTTGATGAATATGATAAAGTGTTCATGCTTCTGAGTTAAAGACATAATGTATCTAGTTTTTATTAATTATCTGACTAAGTAATGTGTATTTGATAAAATATATATTTGTATATGAGTAAGAGTTCTTATACAAGACAAAGCATGTATTTGGCACATTATTTAATATTTATCAACGTATCTAATTATGTGCACATATATCTGACAAAATATACATAAAATTTAATGAATCTATTAAAGTGTACATTGTTTTTGAGTTGAGAAATCTAAACTTTGTTGAATTGCCTATAAAAAGAAGGATGTTGATTGTTTTGATTTTCTTTTAGGAGTTATGATATGTTATACCCTCTAAAGTTATTATAAGCATGATTTTCTCCTTAATTAATACTTTCAGTTATATCCCTTAATTATAAACATTTCTTAATTAATGACTTTTAGTTATATCAATTAATTAGACACTAATTGATATGTATCTGTCACGCCCCTTTTTCCACGATCTTCAAAGAAGATGAATGGTTTTTTCCAATTGAAGTGATGACTTTGAATTGGGATTATAGTTTGTACAGAGTCGTCACTTGGAATTGTGTTATGATGTTCCAAGTCACCTTTTTTAATCCCTAATAAAAAGAATATGACTCTTTTTATTGTTCTCGTGTAAGAAAATTTGTTGACCCATGGGAAGGCATGTGGTACCACCCCTGAGTCTCCTAGTTCTAACACGGTTGTTTTATCAACTTATATTTTACTTAAATTAAACTTGGTTAAACGTTTGCCTATGATTTGTTTTAATTGTTGAATTTTATTTGTCTTAACTCTTAAGTAGAGGAGGAGCCAAAATTACAAGTTTGGAGTTCAAAATTTTAGGACTAGCGGATCCAAGGTTAAGAGAAAATCATGTTTTAAAAGAAAAAATTTAAAAAAAAAACTTTTGTTGATAGTAGGGTTTGCACGCACAACAGAAGTGTGGAAAGTATTTTCATAACCCTTTCCTTACCACTAGGCCATCAATCAATTTTGTGTTAGATGGTTCACAAGTTAATATATATAATTTTCTAATACAAAAACATTATTTACGAAAAAGCTACTTGTTCGTCCGAACCCACAACTCCCTTAGCTCCTCCCCTAGACTCTTAACTAAGACACCAAGTGGCAACCTCAACTTCGACATACACAAATTAAGACGCATAAATACGATCTCTCATATGTATCGC